GTTCAGTATGTAAGAAATATTTTGTAGTCCATTATATCTTATTTCGTTCAGTGTGGGATAGAATATTTTTTATTTTGTTCAATATGGGGTAGGGTATTTAATTTTGACGCGTCAAAATAAAAAGAATTTTAATGTAGGTGCTGGTAATGTGCGTGCGTTAACATTATTTTTATTTTGACGTGTCAAAATTATGTTAAAATCCAACAATATCAATGCGAGATCAAGCATCGCAAAAATAAGATGTTGACTTATTACTCGTTTTGAATTTTGTCCTTCTAGGGGAGACTAACACATGCACGTAGCTGGCTCAATTTCGTTGTTACTAGCTGTACAAGGACGAAAAATATATTTCCGTTAACCCACATTTTTGGCTAATTTTCTGGATAACATTGACGGTCTACCTTATCGCTTAACTATCTGGATCTACCCCCTTAATGCCAGCTGGAAGAGCAGCGTGAAAAATAGACGTTCCGTGACTACTTTTGAATATTCCAGCGAGCATTAACTCGCACGTTTGCGTGTTTCCGACGGGACACGAGGACACGGGACCATCTGTTCTTATCCGCGCGGCGAGTTAAAACGTTTTTAAGCTGCCCGGGGACGTAATAGTCCCTTCTCTCAAGGGTGAAAGACGCCGGGGATGGACTTCGTGCTCCTGCATAATCGCCCACCCGTTCTAGACCCATTCAAATTTCGCCTAATTGCCTTCCTACTGGAAACGCGATTGTCACTCGCCTTTTGTCCGACTCCAATTATGGCCCGAGTGATCGAGCGAAGTACCAACGCGGGACGATTCAGTAGCGATGAGTGACTCGTCCAACGTTCATTTTATCAAAACGAATTCACCATATTGGGAATCTCACTAAATTCTGATCATTGGAAACGACATCGAGATATTATACGCGTCTACGAATGACGTCGAATGATCATTTTTCATGGTTGGATCACGAGAAAGAAATGAAAACTGTTTCGGTACGACCGCTGGGAAGAGGGGTTGAAATTTGGTGTATCCATCAAATTTGGCGACTCGCGACAGGGCCGGAAATGAAAAGGAAACATCGGGGACATTAATTCTGCGACGGAACACGGCGAGAGATATCCACGGTGCATGAGAAGATTTGCATTAAACGGGATTCAGCCGAGTCGGCGTTCCGAACCCCTCGGCCGTGGATGCTCCTTCGCTTTTTACCCCCTTTGCATACCTTCCGACCCTCGGCATCGACACGGATATATATTTCGCCGTCGTTTATAAAATTCCAGCCACGCCGCCGCGTCCGCCGCCGGTTCAATACCGAAAAACGTTCGCCGGAAGAGCACGCGGGATACAGTGAGGGGCGAGGCCGGAGAGGAAACGCGTCCCGTTAATGGCGAACGCGCTGAATCGCCTCACCGTACGACAACAAATTTTTCTCTTCGCACCCGGCAAGAAACTAGACCGTCGGCTTCGAGACCAAGTCATTTTTCAGCCGGAGTCAGCAACGATGAAAACTGCTCCGAGATATCGAACACAATTTTTTATCACTGCTTCGACCCGAATAACAGAAACGTGTAACAATAGAAATTAGTGATGGCTAAAACTGCTACTTTCGAGTCACTCGTGATTCGATCACGTTCGTTCCCAATCACGGTGATTTTTC